TAAGCAGGAGTCAAGCAAGTATCTTGACAGTATATTGAGAGACCGACAAAGCAAACTGTTAAAGTTTTAGTCAGCCTTAAAAGCAAAAAAAGCGAGGGAACTCCAGAAAACAACACCTATGGAGAAGGTCTGGAGTTCCCTCTAGATATAGGATCTCTTATTACAGAGATGCAAAGAAATTGATTGGTATCACAACTTCTTTAGAAAGTATCCTTTCAATATCCCTGCCTCATGTCAACCTTTTTAAGAAAAAGATCTGAAACTCTCAATAAACCTTGATTATGTTTATCGTTCCTCTAAGGGAAGCCTTTCTTAAAAGGAGGAAAATCCCCTCTTTCCAGAAGAACAGCAAAATGGTGGTTATTTAGTGGTTAGTGTTTTAAGAGAGAGGGGACAGAAAAACCAAAACCCTTTCTGAGTATGGCACGCCCGAGAGGATTCGAACCCCTGGCCTTTGCCTCCGGAGGGCAACGCTCTATCCAGCTGAGCTACGGGCGCACTATTTTTTGCTTATACACATCTATGCCCCCTTTTTAAAGTCTTTGTCTACGTGTAGTATGCTTTGAAGATACATCGGAGGAAATATTTCGTGATTGAAAAACCCATGTCTGTTCTTTTGTCGAATGAAAGCTCATCCTTTTCTGTGAGCTCACCTGTGGCAGGGTCTACCTTTTCTTTAAAGCGCCTTAAAGGGCGAGAAGCAATATCAGAGCTTTTTTCGTTTGATGTTCTCGTTGCTTCAGAAAACGCAAATGTGGACTTGTCACAGTGCATGGGAAAGGATATGAGCATTACTTTTTCTGCCTCTGGTAGTGAAAGCAATGCTGATGAACGTTACTTTCATGGCACTGTGGCACGTGTGTCACAAGTGGAAATTGAAGAAAAAGACAAGGGGAACGTCAGCTATTATCGAATGATTTTAAGGCCAAAGGCTTGGCTTTTGACTCAGTCAAAGTCATATCGGATTTTTCAAAATCAAACAGCGGCGCAAATTATAAAAGATGTTTTGAATGAAGGGGGTGTGACGGATATTCAAGATGATTTGCGTTCAGCAGGTCAAACAACACGCGAATATTGTGTTCAGTATGGGGAAAGCAATTTTGACTTTATTTCTCGTTTGATGGAAGAAAAAGGAATTGCTTATACATTTTCCCATGAATCGAGCCTCCATAAAATGATTTTGATGGAAGCTGTGGGATCCTATCAATTTTCTACACGCTCTCAAACAATTTCTATTTCTAAAGCACAGAGTGGCGCGTTGATTTTTAATGAAATTATTGAGTGTGAAGTTCATCATGGAATTACGTTAGGAAGCGTGCAAGGGGTAGATTATAATTTTGAAAATCCAAATACAGCATTAAAGTCAACCTCTCAAGGAGAGAGCCAGATTGGCGGTGAGTGGATGGAATATCCAGCAGGCGTTGATCATGAGCAAAAAGCAGCACAAAGCATTGTTGATTCGACCTCCGACTCTATCATCAATGCGGCAGAGAGCACCGTTGATACCTTAACAGGGAATTCAACGTGTCCCTTTTTTACGGCGGGAAAAAAGTTTGGACTTTCAGGACATATTCGTACTTCTTTGAATAAAGATCATGTTGTTGTGAGTGTGGAACATTCTATCGAAGTACAGACAAAAGATCTTTCTGGAATCGCTTATCAAAACTCTTTTTCAGCAATTCCTGCAACAGTATTTATACAGCTGCAAAAAGCACATCACGCCCTCGAATTTTTGGCTCCCAAACAGCAAAAGTTGTCGGTCCAGAAGGAGAAGAGATTTGGACCGATAAATATGGTCGTATCAAGGTAAAGTTTCATTGGGATTTAAGTGCAACAACGGATGCTGGGGTATCCTGTTGGGTGCGTGTGTCTCAAATGCTGGCTGGAAAAAACTGGGGGACATTGTTTACTCCACGTATTGGTCAAGAGGTGGTTGTCTCGTTTTTGGAAGGGAACCCAGATCGTCCTTTGGTGACAGGGGCGGTTTATAATGGCC